TAGAAAAAAGCCTTTTTGGAGAGGGTGGGTAGGAGAGGTATGGTAGGGGAGAGAAGGGCGCGAGGGTTAGGGTTAGATGTGAGGGTAGGAGGAGTTTTTGGAAAATGTTTTCCTAACTTTTTTTAGGGAAGTCATTTTCCTCCGATTTCAAAAAAATGTGATACCTAGGAAAATATTTTCCAAACTATTTTGTGCAACCCAACAATGAAAAATGGGAAAATATTTTCGGTTGTACCAAAAGTGTTTACTTTTGCCAAACTTTTAAGGATCAAAACTGTTCGGGAATATATTGAAGGGACAATTTAGGCCTATCCCAAACATAAGACACCATTTTGTCATTTTCTCAAAGTTACGAGTATGATTTAATCGCCGTTCCTCAATTTCTCGCAGCTGGAAATTGCTTTAAATTAGACAACTTCTTAGTTTCAACATCCCAATTCTTCAAAATTGCCTACGCTGAATCTTCGTGTCACGGTCTCATTTCTGTAAAGTGTGAGTACGAATTGTGTTCCTACTTGTTACTCTTATGCAATGCGTACAACCTATTTGATTATATGCATATCTTGCTTTCTATATTAACCTGGAAAACATTGAACATAACTTTTTGCGAGCAGGTTCATAGCCAAAATTAATTAGATTAGCAAATTTATATCTCTCTTATTCACTATAGTTAAACATAAATTGATTGTTAAGAGGGGAAAAATACATACAAGAAAAAAAAGGTCTGAACTTGGAGAGTTTATTGCCCTTATATGAGTTGCTAAAAATTTCTACTGAATGTTTTTAGAATTCATGATTTTAGATTGACCTTCTTTTGGAGGTTAAACGTGGATAAAACTTTCTGAAATAGGAGTTACTCGAATAGTAGAAATTACATCTAAAATAGTATGAGTTGCAAATTTTACATTTCAATTATATTGTCAGGAGGTCACAGGTTCATGCCGCGAAAACAGCCTCTTGCAGAACTGCAAGATAAAGCTGCGTGCATAAGACCCAACGTGGTCCAGCTTCCCCGAACCCCACACATTGCAGGAGCTTAGTGCACCAGGCTACCTTTTAATTATGTTGAAAGAAAATTTGTGTAAGGTACTTGATTGGTAATTACTGTTGTCGCTCATACTGTATTGCCTTTCTGAAAATCTTCAGAGTCCTACAGCATAAAATGAGATGAAATCTGTACTGAGATTCAAAGCCAAACTGATACCAGTACTCGGTTTGGTTTCTATTGGTCCATCTCCTCCACTCTTTGCACTTGGACATCTGCTTCAATATCTGCGCTGTTATTCTGGTGCAGCAACCAAATGGCAGAATGAGACAGGATCAATAAAATGTAATGATCTGCTCAATGAGTTTACTACTTACTGCTATCAAAGGGATCTTCCCGGGGCTATGAAAGCATTAAATTCCTTGCAAATTCACAAGATATGGGCTGATGCTGTCACCTACTCTGAACTCATTAAGTGCTGCTTGGCTCGTGGCGCAATCGAACAAGGCAAACGGGTCCACCAACATGTGTTCTCCAATGGTTATGAACCAAAAACGTTCCTTGTTAACACACTTATTAACATGTATGTGAAGTTTAACATGCTGGACGAAGCACAAGCTTTATTTGATCAAATGTCTGACAGAAATGTTGTCTCCTGGACTACAATGATAGCTGCCTACTCTAGCGCTAAGATCAACAACAAGGCTTTGGAGTTTTTGATCCTCATGCTGAGAGATGGTGTGAGACCTAATATGTTTACTTACTCTTCTGTTCTGAGAGCTTGTGATGACCTGTCCAATCTTAGGCAGCTCCACTGCAGCATACTCAAAGTTGGTCTGGAGTTTGACGTATTTGTCCGAAGTGCTCTTATTGATGTTTACTCCAAAATGGGTCAACTCGAGTGTGCATTGTGCACCTTTAATGAGATGGTGACAGGGGATCTTGTTGTCTGGAACTCCATTATTGGTGGATTTGCACAAAACAGTGATGGGGATGACGCTTTGACTCTCTTCAAAAGAATGAAGAGAGCTGGATTCTCAGCTGATCAGTCAACCTTGACAAGTGTTCTTAGAGCTTGTACTAGTTTGGCACTTTTAGAAGTGGGAAGTCAAGTCCATGTTCATGTACTCAAGTTCCAGCGGGACCTAATCCTTAACAATGCACTTTTGGACATGTATTGCAAGTGTGGCAATTTGGAAGATGCCCACAAAATATTTACTCGGATGGTAGAGAAGGACGTGATCTCCTGGAGCACCATGATCATAGGCTACGCCCAGAATGGTTTCAGCAGAAAAGCACTGGAATTACTCAAGGAGATGAAAGTCTCAGGGATCAAACCAAACTACATCACTGTTCTTGGAGTCTTATTTGCTTGCAGCCATGCAGGACTGGTAGAAGATGGTCAATATTACTTCCGCTCAATGAAGAAGCTCTTTGGTATTGATCCAGGAAGAGAACATTACGGTTGCATGGTTGATCTTCTTGGAAGATCTGGGAAGCTAGATGAAGCGGTTAAATTAATCCATGAAATGGAATGTGAACCAGATGCTGTGACATGGAGAACATTGCTTGGTGCCTGCAGAGTACATCGAAAAATGGATTTAGCTGAATATGCTGCCAAACAAATTATAAAGCTGGATCCAAGTGATGCAGGAACTTACATATTACTATCTAATATTTATGCGCACACTCACAAATGGGAGGACGTTGTGGACTTGAGAAAGTCCATGAGGGAAAGAGGAGTGAAGAAGGAACCGGGATGCAGCTGGGTTGAAGTGAACAAGCAGATCCATGCTTTTATTATGGGAGACAACTCCCATCCACAAATAGAGGAAATTAAAAAAGAGCTAAATCAGATTATTTGGAGATTAAAGGAGGTGGGATATGTTCCAGACACAAACTTTGTCTTGCAAGATCTTGAAGGTGAACAGATGGAAGACTCACTTCTTTACCACAGTGAGAAAATAGCTGTTGCCTTTGGTGTATTGAGCCTGTCTAGAGAGAAGACCATTAGAATCAGGAAGAATCTCAGGATCTGTGGAGATTGCCATTTATTCGCGAAACTTTTGGCACAGATAGAGCGTCGGAGCATTGTCATAAGAGATCCTATCCGTTACCATCATTTCCAGGATGGTATTTGTTCATGCGGAGATTATTGGTAGAAGGGAATGGACTTCAGTTGAGTATGATAAAATACCTAGTTAATTTGCTTTCGATAGAATTATAAGCTTCACTGTCTACATTAAACACATCATACTCACTTGTCCCCCATGTTTATATGTTTTGCTAGCAGATGTAGTAACACTTGCAGAAATAGTTGCAACTATGGAGCTCAAAGTACTGGTTCATGGTTGGGTTGACAAGAACCCACTCTCTGCTCAACTTGCATTTGCATTGGCAGCTATGAGTTTCTAGGTTGGCAAGCAAAATTACTGAGGAGACCCCTGAAGGTATAGCAGCTGCTGAGCAAAAGTCCCAAGTTTAAGCAAATACATCTTTTAGTTGGATTGTTCAAGCCTATTTGATCTTTTGAAAATTTCATCCATCTTCAATTTTCAGATTGCAAGGTCCCCTATTTGAAATCTGCTAGAAAATGAAGCTTGTCCAAGTCAAGAGCTTTGTGCAACTACATTAAAAATCCCTGATCCAGGTCCTCTCTTATTCAAATCTTTCCCCAGCCGTTACTCTCTCCTGTCAAGTATGTGTATTTGAATACTTTTCTTCCATTATTGAGATATTATTCGTGTGGTTCTTGTTTGGAACTTTTTTGTTCTAGTGCTAATCTTAAGTCTGCCCTTGCTTTGTTTTCTTCCTTTTTATGCTTTCCCTGATCAAATGAACTAACTGGCAATGAAGTCACTTCTTCATATTGTGAACTAGACTTGTTCACTTTTTAGTATGTATGGAACTGGATCTGTCCTTGGCATTAGATAAAGTCACTGATTAACAATGGAATGTTGTCATTGGTAACACAAAACTGTAGCATTATGACCTTCAAATCACACAGAATAATTGTCAATAAATCATGGAAATGCTTAAACCCATGTAATGTTGCCAGATTTTATGATCAATCTCCACATTCCAACTGATGGAAAGTAAGCATCCCAGCATATTGACTTGTGGACCTACTTTCTTCAGTGGACAGGCTCAAAAAGTTTTGATCCATTTTTACAAAACGGAAAAAGCATCTATTCTTTAAAGATTCTATCATAACATGGTTTCTTGTAACATCTTCATTAATGATACTTTTGTCAAACATCACAAGTCTCTGTCTAATATATTTCTTACCTCGATAGATAACCCACTTAATCTATACACACTAAGGATGTAAAACTGGGAAAGCTGAAATTTTTTCAACTAGCTTTTGCTTTGGGTTATTTGTACTTCAAAAACCAGCTCGCTTACCCTAAAGGTTGTCAAAAGGTGGGATGACAAAGGTGGTATTTTAGTTCAACGCCAATTATATTGGATAATTACCCAGCTGTGACATTTTGAGGACCGGCATATACAATCTACTTTCAACTGTTTCTTTATCTACAAAAGAATTATGTACACATAATTTTGGTTCATTAGATGCTTCATTAACATGTTATTAAACATTTTTTTTCTTGTAGGAAAATGCTTTGCTAATATGTCCTATAGCGATCAATTTACTTACTTCGTGGTTTAATTTGTATGTGGGTTATAGGCTTCATTAGTCTGTCTATATAGGAAACTTCGTACTCATTTTCCACATGTTTGTTTCTTATGGTTTCCATGCAGATTTAGGGGCAATTTTTAAAATAGCAAACTGTGAAACATGACCTGGTAATCTGTCGGGGAAAGGATTGGTAAGAGTGCATTCTCTATGTAACTGGCATTTGCATTGGCAGCTAAGTTTTTCCATTTAGGTCTCCTTAGTTATTCAACAAAATGTGAACATAACTCGTAAAAGGTCCTGTAATTGTTGGCCCAGGGTAAGGTTGTACTGTGGTCCGGGCCCGGCCCGGGCCTGCTGGCCAAACGGGCTGGTTCAAGCGGCTCCGTCTCTAGTGGTGCATAAGCCCATAGCGGGCCGGTCCAACCCAAATAGCCCATGAGCCCGGGATCGGCAGGCGGGCCTGGGCCGGTTCAACCGGGCCCAATGGGCCAAACGGCCCCAACGACTATTTTTAATTTTTTTTTTTAAAAAAAATGACCGACGGTCAGATATTTAAAATCTAGCCGTTGGCCATCAAAATTCAACCGTTTGGCACTTTAAAAAATAGCCATTTGGCCCCCAAACTTTTTATAATTACACTTTTTCCCAATTCTCAACTATAAATACCCTCCCATTCTTTCATTTTTACTCACAAATTCATCAATCTCTCTCTAATTTTCTTCTATAATTGCTTACTTTATTATTGCAATTTCGTGAAAAATTGTGAAGTTGGTGAATTGAAGTATTCAAGTCTTCAACGATATTCAATTTTCAAGAAGTTGTTCGTCAATTCGGTAAACTCGTTCCNTATATATACTATATATATTTATATAACTATATATAAGCAATTTATACTAGTATATACATATATAGTTTACAAGAAAGTGCCTTAGATAAAAAAAAATTAAAAAAATAGTCCGGAATGAAAAAAGCCCGTTAGGCCCGCGGGCCCGGCCCATTTAGACCGGGACCATGTGGGCTTAGGACCACCGTAGGCTGGTTCCACACATTGAGACCGTGAAGCCCGGGACCGCCTCAACCTGGCCCGCCTCAAGCCCAGACCCGTTTGGCCCAGCCCGTTTAGGCCCGTTTGGCCCGGGCCCGGACCACAATACAACCTTAGCCCAGGGCTTGGGTTCAGTGGTTAGAATGCAATGCATATATTTAACTCCGAGTAAAAAGCAGCCCCTTGCGGAGTGACGGAATACAGATATCTTCCAGTTACTTTAAGTATCACTGAACGTTTCCTCTTTCCCATTTTTTGCATAACAACGATATCAATTTATAGTACTCTAGTGTAAGTAATAATTTAACATGACCCTGTGGAGATAAACTATACCTCACAGAGTTATTCTCCGTCACAACCTCACCCTCCCAATATAATGAAACTCTTATTCTACGCTCTTCAGACATTGCGAAAAAAATGCTTCAGAGTTTAACAATAAGAAAATATTGAAGAGAATTAGAATTGTATGTGAACGATTTTTCCAAACTCTGTCCACTTTATATAGGAAATGGCTAGTCCGGGAGGTATATAGCATTTTCTAAACACACGCTATATATTGAAATAATTGTGATTGTCAGTTGGTGGGGCCAAAATTAGAGGATATCATTTTCTGTTTGTGCGCTATACATATAGTGTGTAACAACAAGACGATATACTTAATGGCAGACGTTACCGTTAATATATAGCGTGTTATTGTTGCACGCTATATATATATAAATATCATTTTTTTAATAGATTTATTTGTGTGTTTTGAGTCCAAACACACATTATTTAGGTTCCGGACTCAATGTTATAGCTGCACAGGAGATGGGTGTTAATCACGTGGGGTGCTTGAGTGATGTGTCAACTGTTGTTGATTTTGAATTAAAGGAGAAGGCACGTGAGATGGAGGTGGGGGAGTCTGCAGATTTAATTTCAATATTGGGCCTTCCTACTGGGCCCAAAGCAGACACATGTTTTAAAAAGACTCCTGGATCAGATATAGCTGCCCAAGTCATTTTTAATGACTTAAGTGGTAGGCCCACCAAAGATATAAGGTTTGACCCTTTGTTAGAAGGGCTGGAAGCTACGGTTTTGGCAGAACAAGAATTATAGTCAAATTATCCCATGTTGCTTGCTTGAAACAGGTGCAGCCAAGGAAAAATTGACATACGCAAAGGTGTCAAGGTCGTGTAAGGAGTCAGTAGAGCGAGAAGGTGCAGACATGCAGGGAGTAAAAGAAGAAAATTCTTTGTCTGTAATCAATCTGGGGGATTCTCTCGTTAACAACGATCTCATGCATCAACAAACTTCGACAACATACAATGCAGGCACTGATTTTAATGACTGGGAAGTAGAAGATGTTGAACCCCTTCAATGCCAGGATTTACTTCTTGAGAAAGAGATGGATGCGACTATTTGGGTGCATCAAAATTTGATCAAACTGGGGAAAATATTTGGGGTTGATTTTTTGGGGCATGAAGAGGAAGCTTTGGAACTGTTAAAGCAAATTGATAGTTGCAGACAAGCTAGAATGATGGAAGCAGACTCAGAAAGCAGAAAACCTAGATTTAGAGGTATTCAGGAATTGAAAGGATTGTCTTCCTTTAATTTGAACTTTAAGAGTAATGGGAAAAGAAATAAGGGGAAAGGAGTGCTATCAATTGAATTATGAAGTTCAAATTAATTTCATGGAATGTAAGGGGTTTGAATGATTTGGAAAAAATAAGAATTGTAAAGAGTCTAGTAATAGACTGGAATGCAGATATCCTCTGTTTCCAGGAAACAAAATTGGAGGGGGAGATAAAGGAGTTAGTTAATCAGACTTGGGGAAGGAGATGGGTGAGGTTTGAATGTTTGGAAGCTAGTGGTACTAGGGGGGGTATTTTGATGCTTTGGGATAGTAGAGTTTGGAAAGGGGAGGTGCCGCAGATAGGAGCTTATACCGTGACATGCAGATTTGAGGCACTTTTGCAAAGTTTTGAGTGCCACATAACAGGGGTATATGCTCCTAATTGCTACATTGAAAGGAGAGCAGTTTGGAGGGAAATAGGTGGTGTTAGAGGATTGATGGAAGGACCATGGGCTGTTTGTGGTGACTTTAATGTCACCAGGTATGCTTCTGAAAAAAGAAACTGCAATAGGAGAACTAGAGCTATGTTGGAGATTTCAGACTTTATTGAAGGTATGGAATTGATTGATCTTCAACTGGATGGGGGTTCTTTTACTTGATTTAAAGGGGATAACCAAGTCCCTGCTTCTAGAATTGATAGAATATTGCTATCGGAAGAATGTGATGCTAGTTTCAGAAACATCAAGCAAACCCTTCTTCAAAGATTGGAATCTGATCATGTACCTGTATCCTTACAATGTGGTTCCTGGGAGCAAACCAAATCCTATTTCAAATTTGATAATTGGTGGCTAAGTACTGAAGGTTTTGTTGACATGATTAGAGAATGGTGGTCTTCTTTCGAGTTCTCAGGGAAACCAGACTACATCTTAGCATGTAAACTTAAAGCTCTTAAAGGCAAGCTTAAGGAATGGAGCAGAAGTAGCTAGGGTAATTTGGCCTTGCAAAAGACCAATCTGCTAAGTCAAATAGCAGCTTTCGATTCAATTCAGGATATTAGAGCCTTGACGGAGGATGAATCAGTCAAGAAGACATCTCTCCTTATGGAATACGAAGAACACATAAAAAATGAAGAAATTGCATGGAGGCAAAGATCAAGGGCCCTTTGGCTTAAGGAAGGGGATAGAAATACAAAGTTCTTCCATATAACTGCTAATGCTCACAAGAGAAGCAACAACATAGACCAGTTAGTGACCCACGGTGAAACAATAGAAGAGCCAGATGGAATCAAGAGTGAGATTATTGATTTTTATAAAAGATTGTATACAGAGGCTGAAGGGTGGAGACCAGCGATCAATTTTGATAACTGTCTAGTAATATCTGAGGAAGAAAAGGAGTTTTTGCAAGGAAGTTTTGAGGAACAAGAGGTTTTAGATTGTCTGAAGATATGTGCAGTGGATAAAGCTCCTGGACCTGATGGATACATAATGGGCTTCTTTGTAAAGTGCTGGGATGTTTTGAAGCATGATATTATAGCTACTTTTCGGAATTTCCACTCCCATGGAATTTTTGAAACAAGTTTCAATGCTACATACATTGCTTTGATCTCTAAGAAGACAGGAGCTAAAAAACTAAGAGATTTCAGGCCTATAAGCTTGATAGGAAATGTTTATAAGTTGTTCTCAAAGGTTTTGACAGAGAGACTCAAAAAGGTGATAGAAAAATTGGTGGACTCACAACAAATGGACTTCATTAAAGGAAGACAAATAATAAATGTTGTTCTGATAGCTAATGAAGCTGTGGACTCTAGAATCAAACAGAAGAAGCCCGGAATTCTTTGTAAACTAGACATAAAGAAGACATATGATCATGTCAACTAGAACTTCTTGCTGAAAATGTTAGACATAATGGGTTTTGGGGAGAAATGGATCAAATGGATAAAATATTGCATCTCCACTGTTAGATTCTTTATTCTTATTAATGGATCTCCTGAAGGATTCTTTCCTGCACACAGAGGTTTAAGACAAGGAGACCCTTTGTCTCCTTTTCTGTTCATATTAGCAATGGAAGGTCTTAACAATATGGTTAAGACAGCAAGAAGTCAGGGTTGGATCAAAGGTTTTGAGGTAGCCAAAAATGGAAACAATAGTCTGGAGGTTACACATCTCTAGTATGCTAATGACACTTTAATTTTTTGTGATGCAAAAAAGGAGCAACTGAGGTTCTTGAGAATTATCTTGGTACTATTTGAAGGCATTTCAGGACTGCACATCAATTGGAGAAAAAGCCACTTGTTCCCCATCAATAAAGTTCCTGAAATGGAGCATCTGGCACTGATCTTGGGTGGAGAAGTAGGAAGCCTACCTGCAATTTACCTTGGTATGCCCTTGGGAGCAAAGTCAAAATCTAAGCTGATTTGGAATTCTGTTATTGAAAAATGTGAAAAGAAGCTGGCTAGATGGAAATTCCAATATTTGTCTTTGGGTGGTAGACTCACCTTGATCAACTCAGACTTAGATTCTCTTCCAACATACATGATGTCCCTCTTTCCCATTCCTGCAGGGGTTACTGAGAGACTTGATAGACTTAGAAGATCCTTTCTTTGGCAAGGAAATAAAGAAAAAAGGTTGTTCATTTGGTTAAGTGGAAATCTCTTACAATTGGCAAAACTCATGGTGGTTTAGGCATTAGGAACCTGAAGAACCAAAACAAGGCCCTAAAGATGAAATGACTATGGAGGTACTCACAGGAAATTGAAACCTTATGGATCAAGGTAATCAAAGCTAAATATGGTGAGGAAGACAAGTGGGTATCAAAGGTAGTTAATACAGTATATGGAGTTAGTTTATGGAAGTCCATTAGGTCACTTTGGACTGTGATGAAGATTCATTCTTCCATCAGAGTAAATAATGGCAACAAAACCTCCTTTTGGAAAGATAACTGGTTGGGAGTTGGTTGTTTAAAGGAACTCTTCCCTGATATATATGGTTTGGTTCAACATCAGCATAGAACAATAGCTGAAGTATGGACCCCCCAAGGTTGGGATCTTATATTTAGGAGGATGTTAAATGATTGGGAGGTGGCTAGGTTAACTGAGTTTTACAAACAATTGGAAGACTTTAAAGGGTTACAGAGTGGGGTGGATACACTATTGTGGTAGGGACACAACAAAGGTATGTATAAGGTGAGTTCAGCCTATAAGCTCTTAAACCATTCAAATCAGCAATTAACTAATTGGCCTTGGAAGCATATTTGGAAAGTAAAAGTTCCATATAAGGTAGCTTGTTTTACTTGGCTGCTAGCAAAGGAGGTTGTCTTGACCCAAGACAATTTCAAAAAGAGAGGGATTCCATTGTGTTCAAGGTGCTTTCTATGCGGGGAAACAACCGAGACAATCAGCCATCTATTTCTTCACTGCACGACAACAGATCAGCTATGGAAAATCTTTATTAATCTCAGAGGTATAGCTTGGACAATGCCTAGTAAGATTACTGAAGTGCTTTTTAGCTGGGATGAAGCTGGAGCTGGAGCAAGAGACAGAGATAGATGGAGGACTGTCCCAGCATGTATTTGGTGGACAATCTCGAAAAAAGGAATTCTAGATGTTTTAAGGACAGTAGCAACTCAGTACAGAAGATCAAACTAAACTGTGTTTTACTTTTTTGTTTTTGGTGTAAGCAGAGCTACACAGAGGACACTATGTCAATCCTAGATATTCTAGAACTTTGCTAGGACTGCATAGCAGAACTTTTCTTTTGTTTTGTAAATATGGTTTCAGTACAACCTATGTACTGAGTTGATTAATATATACAAATATGTTACCATCTCAAAAAAAAAAATATATATAGTCAAACGGTATAGTGAAGTGTTATTATATAGGGATGTTGTTACAGAGAGGTGTATCCATAAGACTTGTGGTTTTCAAAATATAGGATTCTTTGCGGAGGTCATACTAACATCCAAACTCTTTTCATTTTTTTTAATCCCAAACAAAATAGCAAAAGAGTTAGTTCAATATTTTTGGTTTCCCCTCTCTCTTACTCGTTCGAAATACTAAATCTAGACAAGTTGAAGAAGAATTAAACGTCAAGATATGGAAGAAGAAATTGAAGTTGCTTGGCGAAGGTTGTTGGAGGGAGAGATTGCTTCTGAAATCCTGTTAGGATATCAGAAGCAGATTAGAGAGTATGAGCTTCGTCGTCATCAGCCTAAAGTTGTATCGTCTATTGTCCAAGATAACCTCTGCAACCAGTTGAGATCAAATCTGCTTTTGCACCTTTGTAATGAAAGAAAGATACTTGAAAAGAAGATTACTTTGTTGACACTGAAAAATGAGGCCCAAGAGAAGCAAATTCAACAGATGGTATTCGAGTTCTTATCACCAGCTAGAGGCTCATTCGGAGATGTATTTTCAAGTATGTCCATCCAATAGTCAGTGCATCAGTTCTAGTGGCAATGCTAGCCATTTCAACCAATGAATGATATAAACCTCCTGCCTGTCTCTGCACCCCTACCCATGGGTTTCGTCAAAACAAACTATGAAAATTCTACTTTGGTTGGACGGTGAACTAATTACTTGGAATAAAATTTGCTCCATTTGAATGCAAATGCCGTTTATTGAACCATCTTTTTTGAATGATTTTTTTGCAGATAGTACTAGGTTTTGCATATAAAAGGCGTTAGATTTTAGGTCTAATTTTTTCTCTTCTTTTTAGGTTTAGAGGACTTTTGTTAGTTTTCCTTTATTTGATACAATCGTTAATAAAGATATTTTAGGGATTCAGTTTTTCTCAGACCAGGTGAATGGCTAAATTTAGAACTTAATTTGTCCTTTAGAATATTTGTTGCCAGTTATCTTCTGTTTCAAGCTTTGTACCCAAAGGTATCGAAGATCATAGGAGATTAACCATTAGAGGCGAAAGAAGTTAGATTGTTTTTTCTCATTTACCCAAGTTTTGGTGGACATAGTTACTCGATACCTCTACTATAGAAGTATGGAAGTTCTAGGTGAAATCGTTGCGAGCAAGGCTTCCATTAGAACAAGCTATGTCACACTCCTTGGTAGGGGTGTACATGGGTCGGGTTGGTTCGGATTTTATAATTACCAAACCAAACCAATTGTGTCGGATTATTAAATATAAAAACCAAACCAAACCAATAAAACTCGGGTTTTTCACTCTCGGGTTTTCTCGGGTTTTCGGGTTATTCGGGTTTTTTTCCGGTAAAATCTTCGTAGAACAAAACATATAAATTGTGCTCAAAATGTTTCTTTAGTCCTAGTAAGATGCAGCTATATAAAGTATTTTTCAAGAAAATAATAAAAAATGTGAGATATGTCATGGCATTATCCTAAAATATTCAACAATAAAGACAATAAAATTATGTAATATAAATATTGCTAATTAAAAACCCATAATAAAAATAAACATAATCTAAAAGTACTAAGTCATGCTAAAATAAGTAGACTAATAAGGGAGTATTAATTACATGATTAAACGCTAAAGAAAAAATAAAAATACGTTATACATTTTTATCTGAATTATTGCAAAACAAAAAATAGATATTCAATACATTCTCGTTCGTAATATTAAATTGAATGTCTTTTATTAGCACTAGTATTGATTTGATTTTGGTTTGGGCTTTTGTTAGCACTATTTAATTTACTAATATTAATGGCTATAAAATTTATTGGAACATTTAAAAGTTCTAAGTCCAACCTTGAAATAATACCTCAAAAGATAAAATTATGAAATCTTTTAAGAAATATTTATAAATTACGTCACAATAATTATATTTATATATTAAACATATCTAAAATTTCTATATATGTAATGTCGGGTTGGTTTGGTTTCGGTTTGACTTTCTTTAGTTAAAACCAAACCAAACTAATTATGGTCGGGTTTTTTTCTCCAACACCAAACCAAACCATCGTCAGGTTTTTTTTCTCGGTTTGACTCGAATTATCGGGTTGGTGCGGTTTGTCGGTTTCCTTTGTATACCCCTACTCTTTGGGTGTGACTCTTCCCCGGACCCTGCGTAAACACGGATACCTTATGCACTGAGTTGTCCTTTCTGCCCTTAGATTTACTGGCAATGATCGGCATACATGCATCTTTGCTTATAATATGTAATCTTACTTTTATCATTCCAATTGATGGTATTGAGTGCACCTATTTAGGGCCTTTACTAGCTTGCAAACTACAAATGAGGATTAGATACCTTTGTCCTGTTCTGAATAATTTACCTCTATCCCAAGTTGAATCATTTTGAGGGTTCATGTTTGTATAAAATTTCCATGTTAATATACGCAGAAAGTTTTAACAAGTGTTGACGAATATTTAGCTTTATTTAGGTACTATCTGTAATGGCATAATGGTTCGTCTTAAATTATCTCATGAGTTTGATTGTTAACTTAGAAGCATTTAATCAGTCTCGAAATCCTATCATATGTTTGATTTCTAATGCAAGCCAAGGTCTACAGACAACAGCTACTGTAGGTCTGAAGGATTGTTTTCCAACTTCACAAAAATTTATGGAAGGGAATCAGCAACCGGCTGCCTACATCACATCTTTCTTGAGGTGCGGTCCATCCTCGAACCTTGCATAAATGCGGGATGCGATGCTTTGTACACCGAGTTGCTCTTTTTATATGGGCCACACATCATTTTGTGATTTTTCAAAGGAAAATATAGCATCCATCTACTAATGTGTAATGTGTTGCCCGGTGATGGATCAAATTACATCGACAAAAAAGGACAAATTTTTTAAGGAAGTTCATTTACCAGAAACAAATAGATAAATATATTTAATGGAGAAGAAATAGGGAACACTAGCAGTACAAAGATCTGATACAAAAAATGTATAATTCAGACGCACCCTTTAGGAAAAGACTTTGCAGTTTGCAAGCACATTCCAGGAGACCAATTACAAATTTTGACCACACTGGGACATCCAATTATTTCAAGAAAGCAAAAGCTCAAATAAATTACATTTCCATGGTTCAACAAGAAAAAAACAAATCTGTACAAGCACGAGTCGTTGGTATGTAAAAGCATCATAATCCAACTAAACTGTGCAATGATGATAACCCAGCATTTCATCTGGGACTGGAATCATCTTCCCTAGGCAGGATATCAGCAAATGAAACCAGCAAATCATGAAGCACATCAAAGCCAACATTGATTCCATTTAAGAGTTAACAATCTTTCATCTGCAAACAGAAAGCTCAATATTTATGCATGTATTACTCATTCTGAAAACAATGAAGCAAACTGAACTTCTCCACCATCTCACACTTGATAAGGTGATAATACAGCTATTGATCAGAATCCTTTGCCAGTTGCTGCACAGTTCATCCTCTTAGTCAATATTAAATTTTCTTCAGTAAACACCTTGAAAGAAATACAAGTGAAGTTGGATAACAGACCTTAAACACACGCTCCACCGGAAAGACATGCTTGAAATTGCAACATTTGATCTGACTTTATGCTTCACTGACATGTCTGTAAATGGCGATAGATTTACTTTGATCTTCTTCATTGAAGGATTTCATACTTTCTTTTTCAATCTTGATAACACAAGAAAATCTATCAGAAATCTCATAAAAAGGTACCTCCTCAAGGAACATAGTGAGTCACAAATGTAAAGGTTGATACCTGCGCCTCTAACTGTGCTATTCTCTGTAAAGATAATTGTTCAACACATGCACGACGTTTCCGTTCTTCTTCAAGCAATCCAGTCATCTGATAGCGCAGCTCAGCCATTTCTTGGGCTAAATCCTCTGCTTCTTCTTTGGCTTTTAGCTTTTCCATTCTCAGCTCTTCCTAACATCCAAATTAATGGACCAATAGCATTAGATCATGTTGGGACTTGGATTTGAATGTTTTCATTAATGTTTAGTTGTTAACTACAAATAGTACCTTAAGCTGCTTTACAAGTGACTCGTAGTTCTTTATTTGACCAGCCATTTCCTCCATCTTGTCCATCAAGTCAACATCCGATGGCCCTATAGCAGCCAGTTTGATGAGGAGTGGACCCAAAATGTCACCACAGCAGCTTCAACGAAACGAAATAGTGTCAGAGACTACGTAAACATAGTAGCAAAGGTGAGAATAGCTTTACTATAATTACAGGTATCCAGAACAAATTTTGTCTCTTCTCTCCTACCACAAAAAAATCCTTGTAAAAGCATGGTCAAGTACAAGAAAATGTGCAATCACTATCTCCAGAGAACTACAAAATGCATGTTACAGATGTGAAAACATGAATGACAATTTTCTTTATTAAACGAAGTATATTAAAAATTTGGACTCTGGAACCAGTACAGCTCTTTCACATCATAACAACTTGTCTCAAGTATCTCATTGTAAGATCGTAAATTACTTCACGTAATCAAGCACCTTCTTAAGCTAACCAGCTTATGGTAGACTAAGAGAAGCATATATACTCACTGCATACCTAGTACCATTTTCCTCTTCTTTACTTGAGGAGCTCACATCAATATTCGCTGCCCAACCACGAAATTGCTCCTCTACTTTTTCAGAAAATGTTTTGGCATTCAATTCAGATGCCTGGAGTTGTTCCCTTAAACTTTCATTTTCCTTCTCGAAACTTTCAATAGCCTTCTCTGTGTCATCCATCCGAAGTTCGAGGTCACGAATAAACTCATTCAACTTAACATTCTCTTGAGTTGTTTCTTCTTGGGATTTCTTAGCTTCAAAATAATTCTGCTCCACAGCCATCAAATCAAGCTTCATACCCTCTATTTCAAATTGATGCTCTAATCCTACAGATGCTATTGACTCCTCTAGTCTCTCTATGCACAAAGCTGAGCCCTCTATCTCTAACTCTTTGTTTTCCAATTGCTGCAACAAATATAAGCGTTCAGCATTTGAAATTTCCAATTCCTCCCTTAACCTTGCAACCTCTTCGTATATATTTTCAAGGTTTGCAAGTTTCAACTGAAGGCTGCACACACACTCACTTAGAGAATTCATCTCTTCATTTCTTAAATGCAGCTGATCCTGCAGGTAATCTGCAACAAATATATTTTAAACAGTGAGCCTAAAATGGGCAAATCAAGTCAATATGATAAAGTAGACAAGATATTTTACTGTTGAAGGGGAATGATGCGAAGTGACAAGCTTCATAAATATAAAGCATATGACCTATTGAAAATACTAGCCAACAGTTGACCCAATAAAGGTGCAAGTCCGCAAAATATAGGAAAAATACATAAGTTACCCCCTGAACTATGGGCCAAATCCCCGTTACACACTTTCTGACCCTGAAAATCATCTTACACACTCAACCTTTCCGGAGTGTACCTAAGACACATCAATAAGGTGTGTACTATCACTAGTTCTTCAAAATATGTGTACTATCACTCACCAATAAGGTCGAGACACGTGTCCTAAATCAAGGAAAAAAAGGAACACAACAACAACCCAGTATAATCCCACTTAGTGGGGTCTGGGGAGGGTAGTGTGCACGCAAACCTTACCCCTACCCTAGGGTAGAGAGGCTGTTTCCAAATAGACCCTCGACATCCTTCCCTCCAAGAACTTCCCACCTTGCTCTTGAGGAGACTCGAACTCACAACCTCTTGGTTGGAAGTGGAGGTTGCTTACCATCAAAGCAACCCCTCTTGTCATAAAGGAAAAAAAGGAAATACTTAATATTTTAAAGAAAAAACAGACCCCCCCCCCCCGGGCGGTTGATCTTTTGGGTTTTGGTGTACCGAATTCATCTCTAAGCTCCCTTATTTTGCCATTTTTGTATATTCTAAACTGGGTGCTTGCTCATATGTTACTGAGAGGCCATGAATGGAGAAATCTAATCGTTAGCATTGTTTTTCCGAATTAGGTTTCCAGTTGTTTGCTCGTATGCCAACTGAACGACCATAAATTGGAAAGTTAATTTTTTAGCTTTTCAGAGATACCCATGAATGGGAAGTGTATTTGCAGTATTTTTCTGAACTGGGTGTTCAAGTATTTGTATATGTTACAGAGAGGCCATGGACTAACATTAATAAAATTTCCTTGGAATGAAATTATAGAAATTAACAGAACTTCCTTGGACATCTACTTCTAATAGTGTAGGATTACTGGATTTTTTATAAATATTCTCTTGTTGGAGTAATTCAGTGAAATGAGACAATGGAGTTAGATGGAAGAGAACATAAGGGGTTTCGCTGGTCATGGAGGGATTGGAGAGGAAAAGAAAAAGAAAAAAATTAATTTGGACCATAGGATCAACTTTATTAAATATGAACCATTGACATAAAGCTGTAGACACACATTTTTCACCTCTTACACGCTCCTTTTGCATGTAATATACCTGTCAAAAGTGGTGTACATCAGACACACTCAGGAAAGATTGAATGTGTAAGATGATTTTCATGGTAGAAAGTGTGTAACAGGGATTTGGCTCATAGTTCAAGGTATATAAACCAAAGAAAAGACCATACAAGTACCATACAAAGATGATATTCCACCAAAGAAAAGGTTAAACGTCTATGTGATGGCAAAAGATGAATCTGACATGGAGAATCAACAGTCAACTGTCATTTGAGTCCCATCAGTAGCCAGGGGCGGACGCACGCTAGTCCGATCCGACACCGCTTCGCCGGAAATAGCACACATATAAACAGTGAACTCAAAAAAAGGATATATTAATAAAATGACGCTATTAGAAAAACAAGTGTACTTGGTCTGATGTCCAATACGTCCATTTGTTGTCGTTACTCTTCTCAACTTCTTATTTTCATGTCGTTATAGTGTTTTATTTTTCTAATGATGACACCGCTTACAAAAAATCCTGCATACGCCCCTGTCAGTAGCACAAACTTCACTCTTTTTCTTCTATTTTGAATCTTTTTATGGACTGGGGTTCCAGGCACCAGGATTCTGGGAGGAGTATTATTTCGGATAAGAAACAAAGGAATGTTTACCAAGGAAAACAGCAAATAAGACATATATAATGTAGCAAACATATTTTGGAATGTATACCTATCTCTTGGAAACAGTTCTCCAACTCTCTTTCCAGTTTCTGGATGTGATTTTTGTCTTCTGCTCGGGCCTCAGATAATGTCTGCACATGCTGTTCTAGTCTCTGCAAACATTTTTTCTTTAATATGGATAGTCAAATTTTAACCTTAGTCTCCAAGGCTTCTAACTTAGATAATGGAATGTTCATGATTCACAATATAAGTCGGCTATACAGTCATAATGGTTATTTTCAAACTCAATTATTCAAAAAAACTGTGGTGACCAATTGTGCTAAACATGTATGTTAGATCTTTCTAAGCTAATAATTCTCATAATTTAATAGTTGTTTTGATAGCCTACTCTATTCCATCTCCTCGAACCAGTATAAGCTAAGATTACAATTGCCACTTGCCATGCACTCTGGAAAAGTTTGCCATCCTCTTTGCATTAATTTTTGGAGATAAGAATCAACATAGGGCAAAATATAGCATAGATAACGATTATTAGAAGCTTTATGAACAATTGCAATATATCTGGTCACATATGAAACTTTATGGTAAGCAAGTGTAATAGCAAAAAAATGTACCAGCTCCTCATGCTATTGATCACTAGAAAGGTGATCGTACATAGATAATGGGAAACTACTGGAACATTAGCAAAGAATTGACGTGGGTAAAGGACTAAAGGTAAACATTGAAATGCAAGTCCTTTTTTTTGTCTTCCGCTGGCCAAAAGGAAACAAGACACAAGTTTGCAAATCATATCCAGATTTATTGGGTAGCAAATCTAATAGTTAAATGAAGAGAAAAAAACAAAGGACCCAGATTGACTATGGAGGTCAGATACAAATGATACTTTACACAAAAAGGAAAAAGTTAATGGCACAGCCTATTCGGCAAATTTACACATCCAAAAGACCTTCTATGTATGCTTCCACATTTGTATGTTCCAAGATCAATTACAAAGAGCATAATTTGTGCTCCTCTGATTTTTAGAGCTGTGTCACCACTATTGTCAGACTGTACTGTAAATTAACATCAATTTTTACTAACAAGAATGCAGAACATCACCATCTTTAGAAAGCATGCAAATCCACAGCCAAATAACACAATGGTTATCCCTTTAGTAAAGGCAATTTTTGCTGTCAAACAACTTTATTTGTCTAGCACATCCGAAGATGCCTTGATAATGGCCAATGATCAGATCAAAAGAGTCACGAATAAAGATAAAGATATCAGAAATTACTCGGATCAGTTCAAAGCTCTGGCCTTGTGAACCCCTCAGCATATCTTTTTCTTTCCTAAGCTGCCAAAAAGAGAAGTTAACAAAATAAAATAAAGGTAGGTAACTAGCAAGAATTACCACATATCCACTCTTTATCAGGAAAGATAATTTGTACAACAGCTATGAACATACGAGCAGGAAAAACTACAATAAGAAAACAGATTCCAAAATTGACACCGACTTGGTGTTTATTACTAAATTTTCTGACTTATCAAAAAGTGGTTCCAAAAGTTATTGAACCAAGCAAAGTAAATAGCAGATTAAATAAAAGATTGCACACAGAATCTCTAGCTTAAAATTGTTCGTCAATTAATTCCGGTATTAAATTCTGCATTGTTAGTCAGATGTTTGGTTTTCATTTCAGTTTCCATGTTAATAATAAATGCATTAGTTATACGGTAATTCCTCTATAATACTATACTACGAATTCACGGTAGACTAACACTACAGGTAGTACTAATGCCTACATAAAGAATGTGCCTTTATTACTATTTAGTTAAGCCATCTCTCACTTGTTATTGTCTGTAAATATTCGATAATGTTTATAGCATTGATTTAGTCCTAATAGCTCGCAGCTCCCAAAAAAAAAAAGCTCATAAGAAAGTGTTTATTCTCATATTTAAGCATATCTTACTCTAGATTGTATATGAAAAATTGTTCATTATTGAGATATCTAAAAATTAATAATTATATAATTCAATTTTCGTATTTAGCTATAGTACATTAATAATTATTAATCGCATATGATAACAGAACCAAATATAAGTTGGATAAGGTAATGTGAATAATCCAAGAGTATTATTGGTATCCAATTAAAAACCAAACCATGTTCTAGATTATACACTATGTATCCAGATTCTAAAGTGATTAACCAAACGTCCAGTAGCAAATGCAAATACTTTCATGATTGTTATTCACCATATGACGATACATGAATTATAATCTGCATTTAACTTCTTTGGCGGATCATATGACTCCGAAGTGCCATGACTGAATTCCTGAATTTAGTTTCGCATTATTTCCATGGATACACTATAACAGATATTATGAACGATTGAGGAGCAGTCTTTACCTCTTTACATCTTTCCCCAATCTCCAATAGCTCTTTCACATCAACAGAGTGGTCAGTACTACTAGTTGATCGACTAGACATTCTAAAAACACGAGAGAGAAAAAATTAGCATGCTCGGAAGAAAAATAGTACGTCCAACTTAATTTATCAGGACAGCACCAGGATACAGGCCTCACAATCTAAAGAATAAGCATATTAAGCACCATATCACAAGTCATTCTTATACCTCACTGCTTAACTGCTTAAACCCCCATAGATCAGATTTGAACAACAATCAGATCATACAAAAAACAGAAAAATAAATATAACGATATGCACATAAAAACTAGATGATGTTAATGGATCGTGACACTCAGTTCCTAACTAACGCCACAATACCTGAATTCTGAAAATAATATGGATAAAAAGCACGACACCCCATTTTCCCATTTCTTGAATAATAAAAGTGTTCCTTCAACAAAGAGATTTAATAAATTGATTACCATATATCGGGGTAATCCAAAATTCTTTCTGCTTCTAGAAAATCATATAAACTGGTAAAATGTTTTCCAAATTATATTACAAGGTCAGACGTTAACAATAAAAGAATCACAGAAGAAGTATAAAACTAAACACAACCTGCCTAAAAACTATGGAAGACTAACGGATATGCTCGTTGTGACACTCATTTCATAAATAATAACTGCAACATCTGAAGGAAAACAACACAAAAAAAAACTATGAAAATGTTCAACACATTGAATATAGCAGAATGGATACAGAGGAATCATATAACCGAGCCCAACTAGTTTTAAATGGAGGCACAGCTGATTGAACGATCAAAATTCCCAGCACCCCATTTTCCCATTTCCAATTAACAAAATAATACCTACAGAATGACGAAATTAATAATCTTGTTTGATAATTCAAACTTCTTTCTGCTTCTTCATAATCACAGATATATATCAAAAATCATTCCCAGATTAAACAACAAAATAAAAAAAATAAAAAAAAGTTGCACAAATTTTACGACATACACAGGCAAATGAATATAATTTCTTAAGCATATACTGCTGTTCCAAATTTACATGATTAAACAAAAAGTATCAAAAACTGAAACTCAAATAGAAAAACAAAAATAAAGATATATACCGATTCCTAGGATTTACGATATCAAAACCCAAAAGGTCCCCAGAATATCCTGAAAATTCCAAAATTTGAGCTGGATTAGCAAAAACCTGATTTATTTCATAAATTATTGAGTACTATTCAATGGAGAAATTTTAAAAATGCCAGAGTTGTGACCGGGTTTCACTTAAGGATGGGTATCGGGTCTAACCCGGTTCGGGGGCAATAAGGGGACTTTTCCTCTTAAGTGCCATTAATTGGCATTTGTTACGATAAAAATCAAAATATGGTGGATGTCTACTCTTCCTCCATGATCTTTCTCTCAAATGGTTAATGACATATTCAATGACATATTTTCTATGTTCAATGACATATTCCATGACATATTTTTTTCACTTTTCATGCATATATAAAGGCCTTGTAATAGATAGGAAAATACACACAATTGAAGAAGAAAATCTCTTCCTTCTCTCTATCTCTATTTCTTGTTCATGTTTTACTAAATTGCTTTTATTTCTTGTTCATTTACTAAATTGCTTTTATTCCATAACACGTTATCAGCACGATGCTCTAACTAATTGTATATATATATATATATCTACAAAAAAAAATTCTGNTCTTCCTTCTCTCTATCTCTATTTCTTGTTCATGTTTTACTAAATTGCTTTTATTTCATAACAGCATTATTTTTATGTAAACGTTTTTTTTGGCTTAATACATAGTTTACCACTCAACCTTTAGCCCAAATCCCCCTTACACATTTTCTGTGGACGATAATAACCTTACGCAAGAAACCTTTCTAAAGTGTATCTAGTACCCATTTCCTTTGACCAGATCCTGTTAATAAGACATCCGTATATGTCACACATTTGACTTTACTTAATTTTAACCCATTACCTTATAATAACTAACCTGACCCTACCCGACCCTAACTAACCCTACCCGACCCACAAGGTAAAAAGCGTTAAAACCAAACTTACCCAAGTCAGTACTCAAAATCCGATACATCTAGAAGGAGCTACTGTAAAGGCGATTCCGACGACCATCTCAAGCTACACTTTCATCGTGGATTTCCGGTGGATTTATGCGGTTAATAGGTTAGTAATTTTCTTCTCCTTGC